TACAAGCCGACAATGCCCTTTCATTGCAAACATGGCAAACCATGTACTAGGGAACATTCAGAGACGTGTTGCCAGCAAATTCAGACAAACTATTATTCTCCTCTGCTAGACACATCTGGAAATCTGTTTCATGCCCCTCAGTTCAAGCAGGATGCAGAGAAGTCAGAGGGTCCAGTGGCAGAATATCAAGTGGATGAGGGTCTAGAGCACAGCATTGGTGAGGAGATTCTGAGGGAGCAAGGCTTTAGTCTGGCAGAGAAGGGGTTAAGGGATGATCTAATAGCAATTTAAATCTACCTGAAGAGCAATTACAAAGACGACAGAGCCAATCTCTTCTCAGTAGTGCCAAATGATAGTTTTGTAAAAGTATTAAAAGCAGCTATTATCCTTTCCAAAGCATTTTTACAAAGAGTTACCTTTATTAATTCAATATGAAAATCCAGTCAATCCATTTTAACCTTCTTCACTTTTCCTTCTTGGGCAACTGGAGATGGAATCTGCTTATTAGATGTTAGACATAACTATACAGAAGGTATTTCAAGAATACTGTTATGAAAGCAGGGCTGTTGGTGGAAGACAAGTGTGAGATTTTAGACTTAAAAAAAGGAAATGTTTGTAAAAGCAAGGAAGCAAAAAGAAAAAATTATAACTGGTCAAAAAAAATTTCCTGCAGGTTTTACAGCTTTTAACAAGTTGAGGTGATATAAGTGAAGTTTTTGAAATTTAATTTTGGAAATTGAACAAAATTCCCCAAACAGTATGATTTATTTCCCTTTGCTAAACTGCACCTTTTCATTTTGAATCAGTGTGGCATTAATTTCTACTTGCTAGAACTGCTACTGTGCTTAGTAGGAAATATAGTTCAGGAAAGTCATATGTCTCTTCTTTATGATTTAAGCTTCCTGGCAGGTGGACTCAGCATAAAAATGTCCTGATGTGTCACATCAGTTCAACTCACTGACCAGCAATGGTGTAATGCGAAGGATGCAGTTCAGCTCTCAGAGGAAGACAAAGGCTGCAGCCATGGAAAGAGCATCTCCCGTGAGGCAGCACGGCAGCTCTGGTGAACATACGGTTGTGAAAGTGGCAGGAAAAGGTGTGATTTAACTGAGCGAACAAACGTGAAGTATTACAGAATTAAGTGAAATGAGAGCACCAGCAGGCTTGACCCTCCCTTGGCAGACCCTGGGGCTCCCCTACCCTGCCCCAGTGATGCCACAGCCTGCCCCATCACTTTGTCTGGCCCTGTTCCCTGGGTGGACCCCTTGGCGCCATGTCGTGGCCTTGTCTCCAGTCCTGTCCCTGGCCCCATCTCCTTCAGCTCCTGACCGGACAGCCGGGATGTCCCTCGCCCTGTGGAGGGCTACTGATGGACCCCAGCACTCCCAGCCGTGTGTGTCAGCCCCTGTTGGTGTGGGCTCGGTTGATGTGGAGCCCACAGGCGAAGCCCTTCTGCTCCCCGCCATGTTGCTGGCCGCGGTGTAATGGTGGGACGAGCTTTAGCCTCAGCGCGGGGCACTGATACGCTCACCTGCACAGTTATAAACCAGGGAAAATAAACCCTGTGCCTCCTGCCGTGCCTGGCCTCATGTCCCGGCAAGGTGTTGTGGCCGTCCTCTGCCAAGACATCAGGCGGCGGCACCCGTCCAGCTTTTCAGGTCGGGAGGGCGGTGTGGAGTTTGCTCCCCGCCTGTGTGTCACCGACTGTGCCTTACTTCCTCCTGCAGGACCGGTTAAATATTAACACAGCGACAGAGGTGTATTTGGGCGGGGGGAAGGGGAGAGGCAATCCGTACCTCAACAGTATCGCAGGGACAAATGTCAAGGCGGGCGCCTGCCCCGGGGCCCCGGCGGCTGAGAGGCGGCAGAGGTCGGCGTTCTTTCCCCGCAGCGGCACCTGGGGCAGCCACCCCACCGCCTGAGGGAGGCTTCCCTGGGGCAAGGAGGTGAGGGCTAGCCCAGGGCTCCTTGCTTTGAACGCCGCTGGCCTCCTCCTGCGTCCCCCACCCCGGGCCGTCATCTCGAAGGGAAAGCAGTCGGAGACACCCTCTCTGCGGCTGGGGAAGCGATCCAGGTAACCCCTCTGGAGCCATTATTCGCCTCCCGGGAAGAAGGAGATGGAGGCTGAAAGATAATTTAACCCTCTCCCTGGCTCCTGCCACAGCGGGGAAGCCAGCCCTGGGCTGGCCAGTGTCAGCGGGGCAAGCAGGGGCGTTTGGCAACCCCCTTCTCCCGCTGCTTGCCCTGGCTCTCAGGGCAGGTGTCCCCCTCAGTGCAGGGTGCCCAAAGCAATTCGAGCCCCGCTCTGTGCCGGGCTGGCTCTGGCTGCCACTCCTTTAGTGGGGATATTATCGATATTATCCCCATTCCTCTGGCACGGAGGTGGGAGGGAGGGGGCTTATTGCCGGGCCACAAGCCTGGGCACAGTGCCTGCCGGCGCTGGCCAGGCCAGTCACCCGTGCACCCGTGGAGAGGGTAAAAAGCAGCTCAGACCGAACCCCAGGTATTTAATTCATCGTCGGCCAAAATATCATGTTTCATCGGGGGATCGGGTAATATTTCCTGTCCCTTTTGACAGTCCATTTTGAAGGAAGCAAAACAAAAAGGCATCGATGCCTTCCTTTCCCTTCTCGCTTTACTTCATCCTGAACTATTTACTGATTTTGGCCTGAATTTGGGCATAAGATTCTAACAAGTTTATTCTTCTCCATAAAACTTTGCTCAGCTAGACCTTGTGTTGGTGCAGCTGATGTGTAAGGGGAGGTCCGAGGGCTGCTGCCCGGGCTGGCGGGGTCCTCTCCAGTCCTGCAGATCCTGCCTGGGATGGTAGCTTCCTGGAAAAGGACATGGCCCTGACTCTCGGATTTGTTTCCTGGTGCTTTACTCGGGCTGTTTCCCTCCATATGGTAGACAATACTAACTCTTAAAAACTACTGACTGGTTTGTCTACATGCTGAGAGCTATCACAGCAGCAGAGCAAGGAGAAATCCCTCCGAGCTGTGCATGGTGACCCTCCTGCCCCAGCTGCCTGCTGGGAACTCCTCCACACACCAAACGTGGAAATGAGAAAAAACTCAAACCTTTCAAAACGCACCCGGCAAACCCAAACCAGCCTACAAACTAGCCCCCCTCCCAACACCCAGGTGAAGAAATCAGCCCACAGGTTTGGCTTAAAACATTGATAAGTTGACAGGGCTGTCCCTTAAGTTCGCAAGGTAAACTGAAATCTTGCAAAACGGGAAAATGCGGAGCAAGCTGCCAGCCGAGCTGAGCCAGTCAGGTAGCAACTGCTGCAGTAAACTCAGCAAGACCCCCTGCTTAAAGCACTGAGCAGTGAAGAGAGTTCCGGTATAGATTGATACTGCAGCTGAACATGTTTGGAAAGATGGCAAAAACGTTTTTTGTTGGCTGTAGTGGTGTGGCGGGCAGGGAAGGTCTGGGTGCGGGACATTCCTCCTATGTGGTCGCTCTATGAGAGGCACTGCCACCCATCCCTGTGCCATCCTGCCAGCGCTACTTTCACAAAAGTCCTGCTGGGAATTAACGCAAGGTCTTAGCACAAAACTGCAAAATGAACTGCTTGCTTAAGGGCAGCAAAACAGCTGGGCCAGGGCTTCTGTGTTTTGTGCCTTGGTGTGGTTTTGGTTTTAGCAAAGGGGCGGTTAAAAAGGTATGGTTGTTACAGGAAACTCAGGGTGTCTCTGTGGTGATACTAATATTTATGCATTGCTCAGAGCTGCCACAAAGAACACCCCTGAAATCAAACCCAATTTCCTCACAAGAAATTTGGGCTGACCACAAAACTGCATCCTCTGGCCCTTGTCCCTCTTGTGCAGGCAAGCTTCAGTTTCCCAGCTGAGAAGTTTGTAAACCAAGCAGCAAAGTCAAACTCTCTCCTACATATTTTGAGGGGGAGGAGAATAATATCACACAAGTGAATCATAAACCCTGGAGAAGCAGAGTGCAGAAGTAAGGTGATGGCTCCCACCCAAGCTCTGTATCTTATCTCTGACCATGGAGAAGAGCTGGTGGTGTTTTATTTTGTGGTGTAAGAGGCACTCTCAGGTTCAGAGGAATAATTCTGGGGACTCTTTTTGCACTAGCTGCCTTTCTGAGTGCTCAGTCTGGTGAGCTGGGAGGAGATTTGGTGTTTCTCATCCTTGCCTGAAGGCGGGTGGGATGGAGAGCCCAGGACTCAGAAACCCTTCCTCCCAACCAGGGTGGCCCCTGTGTGGTGAGGACCTGATGGGACTGCCACAGCATTGATGGTACCAGGCTCTCCCTGGAAATGTATGAATAGGAACCCCAGTTTTGGAATAAAGCACACAGAAAAACATCAAAACAGGCTTTTTGGGTGTAGCATTGGGATATATTCCCACTTCCTCTCCCAAAGGCTGACTGGTGCAGGAGGCATCAGCTTCCCGAGGAAGGGGTAGCAACCCCTCTGAATGGAAGTCCTCCAGCCCCAGGGGAGCAGCTGGTGCACTGTGCAGTTGCCCTGCATGACAGTAAGTGATGGAGCACAGGGTTCATTAGTCTGCCAGGATGCCACCGGCGGCACGGACAGCACACCCACAATACACATGCAATTGCGGGCAGCTTAGAGAATTATTTTTCCCAGCTGCTCACGATTAACTTTAATGATGCAGATGGAGCTCCCCTGACGCAGTCAATCCTGAAGCAGTAGTGTTGTAATAACCAGGAGGGACTAAGGGCATGAGAGATGCAAGGTCCGTAGGGGAAGGTTTCTGTGCTGAAGAAAGCTTCTCTACTTCTTTTGAAACTGTTGTTTTGAGAAAAGATACTGCTCTCCTTCCAAACACTCCTTCATTTAATCTTCTCTCCTTGTTGGTAATACAGGTCATATAAAGTCATATTTTATCACAGGACGCAAAGCAGCAGCTCGTTACTGAGTTTCTCGATAAGTTCTGTCCTTCAGCTTCAAGTATGCAGTGACCGCTGGTGGCTTTCTGCCTTAGGGACCAGGAGAGAATGCTCCAATGGAGAGGTTCCAGAAATTCATTTTACTTCCTCTCATCTTAACTGCCTCGCTACCAGGTAGGACACATTCATAAACCCTGAAATGAGCCACTGTGGACAAAATGTGTGAACTAATTTTAAAGCCGTGTAAATGGCAGTTCCTGGTAATATCAGATTGAACAATCAGTCCCAGAGGGGGATTATTTAAAATGCTTGAAATGGTTAAGTTTGCATTTCAAGCCTGAATGATCTGATGGCTTAGAGTGGGCTTCAGTATGCAGGAGTGAGCAGTGGATGGGGTGGGGAGGAGATGAGCAGGAAGCTTCCAGTGAGCAGGGATATCCCACTTATTCCTCCCTCTCCTTGCGCTCATCTTCCTCCTGTCTGTTTGGGACTGGTTTAGAGGGGGCATCTGTAGAGAACTCAATATTGGCAGCTGATTTTGCTTCCAGAAATATGTGCAAATTATCATTTTGCTCGTTTGCCACCAATTTACATTTCACATGCCTGAGTTTCAAAGTGAATTCAGATAAAAGGTATCTTGGTGGCAGAGCTTTAAAGAAAATGCGAATATAAAGTTGGGTAACAGAGATAAGGCTGATTTTTTATTATAGTCTATCTGGGGTTTTAATAGGCTCTGAAAGGAGGGAGCTGCAGTGAGATGGGAGGGAAGGTATTGTGATGGCTTTATAGTTGGTGAAAGGAAACACAATGCAGGAATAAATGTTGTGTTTTCTGAGAAGACTGGTGTTCCAGTGGAGTTGCACAGGGATGTGAGGTACTCAACGCACTCTTAAACAACCTAGTAAAGAGGAGCAAACTGTGAGGTGGCAGACTTTGCAGGTGGTGCAGAATTACGTAGGGCAGCCAAATCCAAAAAGAGACTAGGAAGATTTGCCAGCAAATGTCACGATGCCAAGTGAGTAAGTAATAAAGGAGCAGAAAACATTCAATGCACAGCATCACTTAACTGAAGATGTCTAGGTGCGGAAAAGCATAGATATCTTGGAAAGACAGTAAATTGCTGAAAAAGAGAGAAAATTTCACCACTTAGTGTCTTCAGCAAGGGATGTTTTGTTAGCCCTTCCATTTCAAAAAAGACATATTAGGTCCGAGAAAGGTGTGAAGTGTGAAAGATCATAGAATCGTAGAATGGTTTAGGTTGGAAGGGACCTTGAAGATCATCGAGTTCCAACCCCCCTGCCATAGACAGGGACACCTCCCACTAGACCAGGTTGCCCAAGGCCACGTCCAGCCTGGCCTTGAACACCTCCAGGGATGGGGCCTCAACAACCTCTCTGGGCAACCTGTTCCAGTGCCTTACAACCCTCAAAGTGAAAACTTTCTTCCTAATGTTTAATCTAAACCTGCCCTCTTCCAGTTTAAAGCCATTCCCCCTCATCCTATCACTACATGTCCTAGTAAAAAGTCCTTCCCCAGCTCTTTTGTAGGCCCCCTTTAGGTGCTGGAAAGCGGCAGTAAGATCTCCACGCAGCCTTCTCCAGGCTGAACAGCCCCAACTCTTTCAGCCTCTCCTCATAGGAGAGGTGCTCCAGCCCTCAGATCATCCTCATGGCCCTCCTCTGGACGAGCTCCAGCAGGTCCATGTCCTTCTTATGTTTGGGACTCCAGAGCTGGCTGCAGTACTCCAGGTGGGGTCTCACGAGAGTGGAGTAGAGGGGCACATCACCTGATGTGATCAAAGGTATGAGGAGGCCTTCATTAGACTGCGATTTTTTTCTGCCTGTGAAAAAGAAGAAATAGTAAACATTTATTAAAATGATTAATTATATGGAGATTAATGACAAAATGGTTATTCACAATTTCTCATAGCAAAATGAACTAGTGGCAACCAGTAAAACTATCAAAAAGAAGATTTAAGGCAAACCAAAGAATGTACTTTTCCTCACACTTTTCCTCTAATTAGACAGTAAAGCTCACAGTCACTGGATGTAGGGGATACCAAATTATAAATAGGCTGAAAAACAGTAAAAACAAATATCATGGAGCATAGGTCCATAGGTGCAGATGCAATTGTTGGCTCAGGAAGTCCCTGTATCTCTTCTTTTTGGACACTGAGAAGTTTTACCAAGGAAGCCTCAGTTTTTATTTGTTCTGTTTCTTGTGCTGTCTTCCTAAGCCTCCAGAGCAGAGTACTACGTGTTTTAGAGGACTTCTATTAGCCTTCACTAATGCTTTTAGCCAAGTGTGCCAGCAACGGGTGTTTTACAGCACCACCTGCAAGCTGTACTGGGGTAGCAGGCACTGCCCACACCGTGTGGTGCAGCCGCGGGAGCACACCCCAATGCAGAGAGAAAAAGTGTATGGCGGAGAGACAAGTGTTGCTCTTGAAAGAAGTATTGATGCTCTCGAGGTGTCTCGGGGAGTCTCCAGGACGGCGAGTCTAGGCTGCTGAGATGGCTGCATGGCGCAGCCAGTTTGAGCATCCCCCTGGGCAGGCACATCATGCCCTTTGGCAGCGATAACATTGCAGACCGCAGGGCTGACATGCAATGCAGGGTCCCAGCCTGACAACAGGATATTGGTGGTGCTGCTGCCCTGCTCCCAGCCTGGGGACCCTCACCGCTGGAGACAAGAGACAGGGCGGGAGGAGAGGAGGAGGAGTCCAGAAGCAGAGGCAGGAGACAGCTGTCAAACAGTGAGTAAGAGAAGAGATAGGAAGACACACTTGAGGGCTGTGGAGAGGTTTGTCTGCAGGTGGGTGAAAATATGTGTTGCTGAGTACCAGTAGACTGGTATTACTTTACAGAACCATCCTATAAGCATTTAAAAAGTCTTGTTAACATAAGCAAACAAGCTAGTCCTTCTCTGCAGGCTTTGACAAGCTCTAACCTATTTTGGCTTTCAAAAAGCTCAGCTGCAGGGCTGTTGGTTTTTGAAATAAACTTGAGATGTGCTGAAGAAAAATCTTACCAAAACAATTTATGGCAGAGCTGTTGCCAGTCAGCAATAAGGCAATGAAGGAAGAAGACAAGGTAGGATGAGCAAGAGACTAAAGAAAGAGTGAAAAGAAAAAGGAATTTGAAACAGGCTGGAAGGAAAAAAATGTAGACATTCAAACAGAAATAGCAGAGAAAGAAGGGAAGAAGACAGACTAGACACAAAAACAAGGATAAAAGGCAGGGTTTATGGAAGGGTGTTATGGGTATAGAGGAGGAGATTATTTTGAAATACGATAATGAGCCTGAAAAAAAAGGAATCAATACGGCAAAAGGATAAGTCCATCCTGTCCTTCACTGCACTGCGTCCAAATAGGTCACTTACAAAAGAGGAAAGACAGAGTCAGTAGAGGAGAGGAGGGAAGGGAAAGAAGGTAGCCGCATCTCAATGCCCTTGTCACTGAAACCTTCAGCATGAAAAAGCTGTTCTTTAGAGTTAGTTCAAATGGGGAAGAAAAAAACATTGGTGATGAGGGGCAAGGGCGGTTCTTTGGCAAATGAAGCTCCCTAAGTGCAGGCATCACCCAGGGAACTAGATGCATTTTTGTTTCTTCAAAACCCCCAGTGATGTGACAGTGAATTTGTGTGACAGAGGAGGGAATAAACAGCTCATAAAGTTGTTGGTGTATACTCTGCGTGCTATTGGGAAGGACTCAGTAACAGGAGCACCATAAATGCTTATCAGTTTAAGCAACCTTTCACCAATGATGACTGCTTTATGAATGGCTGGTGATGTGCCTTAAAGAAGGTTTTCTAACTCAGCTTTGTTCTTCAAAAGTCAAGGGGTAGCACAGTATCATGAAGGCAGCCTAGCATTTGCCTGTTGCAAAGATGATATTTGCCTGGGTAGGATTTCTTATTGGTTGTGTGTGAGGAAGCAGATGTTAAACCAGCTGTTAAAAGCTGAACATGTAATTCCTGTAAAATGCAATGGCAATCTAGCCTGAGGCCTTAATTTGTCTAAAAGCAACCATCTGCAAGGTATTTTTTAAGCAGTATGTAAATGAAACCAGCACTAAAAACTTCTCCTTACTGCAAGAAGCAAGGCCCAGCAAAAGCACTGATAGCACTGGTAACTGGGTTTAGATCCCACTTCTGTCATTAGTGTCCTCTTTGACCTTACACAAGTTACTTTATCAGTGTTTGTACGTGGGTTGGACAACAGAACACATTGTTAGTTCAGGACTCCACGTGCTATTGCAGGATAAAATATAAAAGCAAAAAGATAAAAAGACAAAGTTAAAACTACCAAAAATGTTTTGGCAGCAGGTAGAGAAGCTCACAAAGCTCCTTTTTTGGTTATGCTGGGACCTTACTAAGATCTAAAGGGAGGCAAGGTTGAGCTATGTCCCACTCCTAAGTCCTCTTGCCACCCATAGGATCCCTGTACAGGGCTTATGGGCCTGTTCCCTGGCTCACAGAAGGCAGTGAAAGACCACCTATTGCTCCAGCAGATATGGTTAGCAGAAGATGTAGATCCTACCACACCCATAGACTGATAAAAAATATTACATTAGATAAATGAAGGAATAACTCATACCAACCTGCCTATACTGTCCTGACTGAAGAAAACAGAAGCAATACTAGCCATGTATTTTTTTAGAGCTGATGACCACTGATTATTTATGTTTATGGTTAAATTTCAAGACTATAATGGAACTCACAGACATGATCTCACAGCAAATGATTAATTAACAGCTAGCAATGTACTGAAAGTCACATCATTTATACAGAGCCATGGCAAACCACAGTTCCTAAAGAAAGTAAAGTGTTTGCACAGGCATAGAAATATGTTACAAATGCACAGAGATCGGTTTGCATTAGGAGGAGCTGTGGGGATAACTACTGCAGCTCCTGTTTCACGAGCAACTAAATGCATTTTGGCGTTAACTCTTAGGAAGTTTGTTCACGGCTGTGTCTGTCATTATGGTAGCGGTTTATGTCCACTTCAACCAGTCTGGAAGAATTAAAACGAAGTATAAAAATAAAAAAATTCAGCACACGAACATGTTATAGACACCATGGAGGTACAGGGAGTAGTATTGTAAAGGCTGGCTACAATATCAGTCAAGAAAAAACAGATGATTCAAAGGCATATTTGAGCTTAGGATAGTGTCTCAACCCTGGTAATATAAGTTACAAATAGAAATCATGACAACTGGATGTTGAATATCAGGGAAGAGGGTGTGACAAATGGTCTCACTAGAATGCATTTCACCAGTGCGTGTTCATTAGAAACCCCATAGCTCTGTAAATGATGCCATCCGCAGACGTGTGGCCAATCCCTAACATTCAGAAAGTGACAAATAGAGAAGAGACGGAATGGCTTTTAAGCATTTTGTTGGGTTAACTGTTTATAAAGCAACGTATTAAGGTATGCATATAGATTTGATTACTGAGTTTGTCTTGTAGATGTTTCATGTTTTAAAGCATTTCAGTTCACCTTTACAAGTGTGAAGAGCACTTCGAATAAATGCTACTGGAAAAAAATGAGCCATTTAAGTTGAACAGAAATATGCTTTACAGTGTGTTATCTGGCTTTATTAACTATCAGTGGAAGTAAAGTTTGCTTTTCATTTAATGTTTTATTGCTCACACACAGATACTCTGGAGAATGAGGTGCATAGCAGAGGTAACATAACCCAGGAAGGTGGAAAATTTTTGTAAAGGTTTTTGTAAACATGAGAGAACTCAGAGTCAATCATACAAAGAACCAGGGAGAGCTAGGTTTGTATAATCCCACAAAACAAAGAATGAAAAGGCTCTTGTCTGAAAACCCATGTGGTGGGTGGGAGGAAAGAGAGGAGCTATTTATATTAAAGAACAATTCTTGGCACAAACCTGATTAGATATACACTGCCTAGGATTAAATGTGCACTGGGAATTAGAAAATGATGTTGACATTGGAGCAATGAGATTACAGACCCCATGCCCTAGGTTCGTTTACTGAGGCTCTGGTTGCAACACCGTAACTGAGATTGGCCTCTGGTTCCATTTATGCAGCTATCAAACATCTCTCTTCTGTGAAATGTTACAGCATATTCTCCCCTACTCACATCAGCTATTGACTAAATGAAAAATGAATTTTTTAATAATTTATAATTAATCTGTTAATGAATAAACTACCTAATGTATAAAACCTGGGTTGAATGAAACCTTTAAAAATAACTTCATTGTCCTGAATACTCTTAGCAAGGGAATAATGGCCATTCCACACTTTCTTTCTCCTGGAAAATAATTGAACACTTACGCTCAGGCCAAATTTGCAGACACGGTGTTTTAATTAGACTGCTATGGACTGTAGCATTTAATTGCTGTAATTATGCAGACTACAGCCTGAATTGTTAGGGGTAGCACTGGCAGTCCTGGTGCTTCCTTAGCATGAATGTTTCCAATTAAGTGACGAAAAACTCACTGGTGAGGCAGATGTCACTGGCAGGACTGCTTGGTCTGCAGAGAGCTTGTGAAATCTCTATCCTTGGAGATATTCAAAATACGACTTGACAAGGCCCTGTGCAAATGACCTAACTGTGACGTTAGGTCTGCTTGGAGCACAGAGTTGGGCTAGAGATTTCCTGAGGTCCCTTGTCACTGAAACCTGTCATCAAAGAGTAACTCTGTCACAGTGAGGTGCAAGTCAAGACTAGACCAAAAGGGAGCAGACCCCAGCCTAGAGGCAGGTGAAGAGATGATAGGAGCTGTGGGGGATAAGAGTGAGCCTAGCGAGATGTGTGCAGAGCACGGACAGTCCCCTGAGATGAGCCTTGGTGACAGTAGAGCCTGCAATGGCAGTCCTCTTCCTCCTCCTCCATTCCACCTGCAACCAGCAGGGCTGTGGGTGGCAGTGACTTAGCAAAGGGACTGGCTTATAAGAGTGTACTACTTTGGGTTCCTCAATACAGGAAGGACATTGATAAACTGGACCAATTAGAGGGCTACCAAGAGGGTAATGGGCTGGTGTGATTGCTCTGTGAGGAGCAGCTGATGGAGCAGGGCTGGTTCAGCCTGTAGAAGAGTTGGCAGCAGGGTCTCTAATGGCAGCCTGCCAGTACCTGCAAGGAGGTTGTCAAGAAAATGGAGCCAGACTCTTCGCAGTGGTGAATGGCAAGAGGGCAAGAGACAACAGGCATATGTTGAAACAAGTTCAGAGTGGTCAAAAGGAAAAGCTTTTTCCCCATGAGAACCACCAGGCAGTGGAGCAGGTCACCCAGAGAAGCTGTGCAGTCTCCATCCTTGGAGGTTTTCAAGCCCTGACTGGATAAAGCCGTGAGCAATCAGGTTCAACCTCAGAACTGATCCTGCTTTACCAGGGGGACTGCATTGGAGACCTCCTGAGGTCACTTCCAACCTGAATTACTCTATGGTCATTTGGTCACCTACTCCTCCTTGAAAGGCATTGATAGCACCTCTGCTTTTGTTCTACTGCACATGGACACAGCATGCTCTGGGGAATTGACTCAAAATCCAAAGGGATTCACAAAGAACAAAGACCCAGAGAAGCAGGTTCCTAATTTCACACAAGGCTGCTCTCTCAAGCCCTGTTCCCTGAGACATCAACGAAATAATCTGGGTTGTTCTTACAGTTTGAAAATTTGTCTCTCATGAAGACTAGGGTATCTGATGCTTTGTCTCTGAGAAACACTTGAAGATTTGACCACCTTCAAAATTGCACCCATTTCCCCTAGCTATTTCAGGGACTGAAGTCACAGCTGCTGCTTTGAAATAAAAGGTCTATGCCTTCATCCTGCCTTCACTTTCTGCTTGGTAGGATCAAATGCTTCTGCCTTCCCACGCGCAGGGGATCCACCATCTGCCTGGGCAACAGCTGCACATTCATTCCTCTGAGGGCCACAGGAGGCCCTGGGTCTATTGAGGAGGAAAGGAAAACAGAATGCCTTCATTAGAAATGAACTTCACTTCTGACAAATAATAGCCAAAATTCGTGCTGCCTTTTAAGGAGAACTCATGAATTACAGCAGCTCTGGCTAACAGAAAGCCTGAGAAGGTGGAGAAGGAATTATGCAATGTATACATGAGAAATATGGGAAGAGGCAGATGAATAGGGGAAAGAGCATGGAAGGATGTATGATGGGGCTGCAAAAAATCAGCAGCAATCTGAGGTATGGAAAAGGGACCAGTTACTCAGTTATTTATTTTAAGTCTAGAGAACTCAGGTGTTTTCTTATTTAAAAGTGGAACTTTTTTCTTTCAGCAAAATGATAAGTCAACTTTTTAGTGAATTGCTGAAGAGAGAAAGGTGATTTTGGAGTGTGAGGAGGAGAGATCAAAAATCAAATGCATCTTTAAAGAAAACCTTTTACTCTAAGCTGGAGCTGAAAGATTAGATTGTACATCTCCATCTCTGAACTGGTTAAGATCTTTTAATCTATATAAAGCTGTTCTTCTTGGATTTGTAATAATTGGTTTGGGGATCCATTATAACAATGCAGTATTGTTTACTGCTGTGGGATTAACATTACTCAGTTGCAATTTCAATTCACCATACATAACTTTAACTGATAGGCATTATAGAAAATGAGACAAGAACATTTTCCTGAAAGTATCAGGTACTGATGACTGTCAGAGGTGAAGTGCCAGCTCAGCTGAATCAAGAGCCTTTCCTAATACATGACTAAGTGCTTAATACCCCAGTGCTCCTAGTGAATAACGCCACTTGAACCAGGACGCCTGGCTTTTTAACCTTAAATTGTTGGCAGTAAAAATTAAGTCAAAGGCCTTTGGTGGTGTGTTGTGTATGTATTTACAGGCTTTTTTTTTCTTCCTTCCAGGTCTTGGCTTTTGTCACTCTATTATAAATGGCCCTACTAATGCAACAGTCCTTGCTGGGTCAGAGGCCCGGTTTAATTGCACTGTGTCGACAGGATGGGTAATTCTCATTTGGCTGTCCAATGGAAATCCTGTCCTCACTCTCGTCAGTTCTGAAGGAGCTTTTGAAACATCAGACCGTTTCACCTCTCAAAATTACACAAGTAGCAATGGGTTTACCTCGGAGCTGATCATCCACAACACCCAGCTGAGTGACTCTGGAAAAATTGAATGCAGCATCCAGGAACCTGGCAAGAGCAGCTTTGCATTTCTTTCTGTTCAAGGTGCGTATAGCCACCGGTAGAAAGCCATTTTATTATACTGCACTTAAAGGAATCCTCTGATGAATTGCTCAAATTATCCTTGTGAAGGAGTACATGTTCTCATTTACCTTCCTTTGCCTCCTGTCCTCCTTGTCTTAATTCTACTGTCAAAGCAGGTTTCAGAGCCACGTTCAGGGTGCCATTGACAAAGGTTATAACTGCCCTTGTTTTTTCCTGTTACATCCCTTATTCTTTATTGGATTGCATCAAAGTGCCTAAAGGCTATATCAGGCCCACCAGGAGTTATTCAAAAATTATCTTTTGGTTAGAAACAGAATGGATTACCCCTACGCACACCTTTGTACATGGACCTTCTGCTGTCTTTAGGGCAAATCTCCCTCCTGTTTTCTGAGTCAGGAATCAGCCTGTATCCAGCTTATTTGAGTTTGATTTAATGGTGTGTAGAAGTAAAGCCCTAGAGACACAAGGTGATACTCTTCATATGATTGCTGTTGCAAGCTACCATTTGCAAGGAACAAAAAGTTCCTGCATATCAAGCCCCTTTATGAGAGACCTTTTCCTCCTCTCTGAAGCATCAGTAGTGACAGAGTGCAGCCAGTAAAGCAAGATGTAACCACTAGATACTATCTATTTGTCAAAAGTGCTTCATGCAATGAGAACATCTCATCATCTACCCATAAGCCTTTCCTGATAAAACCCAAGCATACTTAAAACTTAGTGAGAAATGCTGTTATTTCATTATGTTGTCCTTCAGTGGAAATATATCAGGATAGCTAAAAAGTATAATTTCCTGATTTTTATTGGAAAGGTACTGAAAGCTGAGTATGCTTTAGACATACTGGACAATGTGTCTGTGAAGTTGCAATATCTGCATGTTTATATCATGCATATGGTATATCTATGTCAAAAATGATTGGGTTTGAGTTCATATCTCAAGGTATAGCTATTTCTGTGTAGCAAGATAAGATAA